GCTTCAACCAGTATACTCTCTCAAACCGCTATCAGATATAGCAGCTCAGTCTACAACTCTAGTTCAGTGTAAGACTATAGTGTGCATAAGTCCTAGTAACAGTTAACCAGTTGAACTCCTGATCCTCAGTCATTAGGTCCCTTAACATTACTAGTAGAGGGCGCACACTAAGTAAGAGCAGGTGAATGACTAGAACTAGTCTGGCCCTAACTGGCGCAGACCTACTAGCTTATATACATACTGGGTAAGCCCCCCTAATACTGTAAGACAAGACCCCTTGGTACTTGTGCTCACTACCCTATTGGCTATCTACTAGCACCTGCTGACCATCTTACTAACTGGTGGTGATGAAGAATCTCCAAGCCAGAGTCTGACTAAAATATCAGGTAACATGTGGGTCTTGACCACTAAGTGTCACTGAGTAGAACTGCTTAGTGAGCTGTCACCTGATTGACAACCGCATCCTAGAACCTTCTAGCTGATTCTCTACTATTCCGTAGATACTCTGGCATGCATCTAATCTATATCTAATTGCCATCTGATAAGATAAGATAGGCATGCACTTATTCTGGAATATCATTTGGAAAACTGTGACAAGTACAGTAGCGCAACCAGTGCTACTTAAATAGAGTAGAGCAAATAGAGTTTAGTAAGTATGAAACACTGAGTTGGATCAGTGATGTATATGAAACAGTTTCACTGGATTGTATCAGTGATGAAGATGAAATGTGATAGGGGTGAAACATGATGTAGGTGAAACATGATATAAGTGAAATGTGATGGATATGAAACAGTGATGTAGGTGAAACACATCAAGTGATGGGATCAGTTGTATAGTACAGGGTCAATGACAAATGGTTAGGAAAAGAAAAGGAACCCCCCTCTGATACTGTAACATGATGTACATGAAACATGATAAAGGTGAAACACAAACAGTGATGCAGGTGAAATGCACCAAGTGATGGGATCAGTAGTGATAGTACAGGGTCAATAACAAATAGTAACAAAGAAAAGAAAACCCCTCCTCAAGGCTGTAACAATATCCCCATTATGCCTAGAACCACACAAGGCTGTTCAGGTGATCATCAGTTGAGCTACTGACTCAACACAAGGCAGAGTGTTCACATGTCAGGTATTCTTAGATAACCAATAGTATATTAGGAGCATCAGTCAGCCTAGGTGTGTCAAGGTATCTCTCTAGATACCTGACTAAAGCAAAACCCTAACCCTAACATTCACTTGTGAATGCTAGTAGTTGCTAAGAGTAGTCAGGTGGGTACTTGGTCTTAGAGTGCAGTTAGCTCAGAGGATGCTTTAGTAGGTTGAGAGACTGTGACAAGTAGACAAAGTCTGTCCTGTCACCATGTATTGCTCTGGACTTTATACATGAGGAGCCAGACCCCTGATACTACTGGTAGTACACCTAACACCTAGGCTGACTGATGCTCTACATATGCCATTGGCTATCTAAGAATATCTGATGTGTGAACACTCTGCCTTGTGTGTTAAGGGACCTAATGACTGAGGATCAGGGGTTCAACTGTTAACTGTTACTGGGACTTATACACGCTATAGTCCTACTGAGACTAAGGTTGCAAACTGAGCTGCTATGTCTGATAGCAATTTGAGAACATATACTGGTTGAAGCAAAGCTTCAGACTGAAGACTAGAATGACAACATGAGTCTATTACTGAGGACTGTCCCTATGAAGGTATGTAGGGAACAAGAGGACAAAACTAAAGTATAGTAGCGCAAGCAGTGCTACTTAAATAGGCAAGCGAATAGAGTTTCAATAAGTATGAAACACTGAGTTGGATCAGTGATGAGTGTGAAACAGGTTT